GGACACACCTGAGGGAACCCCTGGAGAGGACACACCTGAGGGGACCCCCCTGAGGGGACCCTCCTGAGGGGACACACCTGAGGGGACCCCCCTGACGGGACACACCTGAGGGAACCCCCGGAGAGGGACCCCTCTGAAGGGACACACCTGAGGGGACACACCTGAGGGAAGTCCCGGGGGGACCTGAGCAGAGGAGCTCAGCGGTAAGATTCTCCTCTGACAAGGAACCAAGGGAAACGATTCCAAAGACTGCTTTATCAGGGAGAATTGACCTCAAAAACACCTTTTTTTCGGAGGGGTTTGACCTCAAAACCACCTCTTTTTGAAGAGAGTTTGACCTCAAAAACCCTTTTCTCGGGGGGGTTTGACCTCAAAAACGTGTTTTGCTTTTTTTTTTTGAATTTAAAACTGAAGTAAGTGTGCTCCCTGCAGCTGTTTTGGGGTGAAAACCTTTGGGATGGGTCACAGAGCCCTGAGGTGGGAGGGAAGGACACGACCAGGCGAACTCCAAACAGGCACTTTTTTATTGTTGGTCGCGACACCGACGGACCCCCCCCGGAGCACCAGCGTCGTTAATGCCTCAGAAACACGCTTAAAAAATGAGTATTTTGGTGTAGAACACCAGCCCTGCGGGTTTTAGCATTTTTGAGGGGTTTTTTTCTTTCCCCCCCTCGCCTGGCCCCCGATCCGGGGAATGAGTTGTAGGGACAGGAGTTGCATTTCCAGGCAGCAAAAAGCACTGTTATTCCTAAAAAAACCGGGTTGTTTAATGCCTCGAGTGCAAGCTCTGGGAAGAAAGAGCCCAGGCCGTGGAGTGTGAAGGTTCTCCGGACACCAAAATCCCCCCGGACAGCTGCCCTCGCTCTCAGCTCTCCCGAAAAAAACCCGACTGACAGGAATATTTCCCTCGTCCGGAGTTCCTGGCACGTGCAGTTTTCAGCTTTAAAAAAAAAAACAAAAACAAAACCACTCCGGGCTTCTTGGGAATTAAAAATCCTTAATTCTGCTCCTCAGGTCCCGCCTTTGCCGGGAGGCAGCCGAGCCAGCCCGGCGGCGTCCCCAAGAACACGGTTTCTCCCAAATTCCTTCTCTCCTCCACCACTTCCAGCCCTCCCAGTTCCTGCTGTATTTCGACTTTCTGAGTAAAGACAATTCCTGATGCTCCTCGGCTGCTTCCAGCAGCGTTTCCACCCCCAAAGGGTCTGGATTTGGGAAGAAAACAGCTGGAAGTGGAGGGGTGAGAGGGAATTCACCCCCAACAGGGACATTCCAAGCGGAAACTGAACCCAAACCCCCCAAAACCTGCACAGGGAGGGGAGAAAGTGAGTTAATTCAGGACCAGCAGCAGGAAACACTGGCTGGAGGTGCTGGAAAAGCTGGAAGTGTTACCCAGTCGTTATTCCCTGAATTATTCCCCCTTACCCCAAACAGAGCCTTATTTTACCTTTTTCCTGCAGAGCTTCGCCGTTACTTTTCCCCTTTTGTTTTTAACCTTTCCCTTCATTTTTTTTTACTTTTCCTTCACCTTCTTATTTTTACCTCTTCCTTCATTTTCCTGGCCTCACCTTTCCCTTCCCCTTCCCTGTCCAGCCCTACCCCGGGGCACGGATCACCTGCAGTGACACAGGAGGGGGAAAAAAAAGGGGAATTTAAGCAAATTACAGTGTTTGATCCCAGCCTGGCAGCAGCAGAGCCCAAAACTTGTCCCCAGAATTCCCGGGAAAAGCTCAAAATATCAACGACAGAACCGATAACACCTCGGAAAAGCAAAATATACAAAAAAGCCCCCAAAGCACTGAATAATTCCCTAGAAACATTCCCGTCTGACACAAACCCCAAAGATCACGAGGGAATCGGGATAAAAAGCTCCAGGGGCTCCGAGGGGGGTTAATTCTGTCATGATTTGGGGTTAATTAGTTGTATTTTAGAGTTAATTAGCCCCCTCTCAGCCCCCAAAAGTCCCTTTTTTTCTCCCCCACGTGCCAAAGCTCTGGACCTTCCCTCGGGCAGGAGCGAGGCGCTGGCTGCCCGGCGGGTTTGCTAAAACCACCCGAAACGAACCCAAAACCCGCCCAGATCCACCCACCACTGCCCCTCCCGAAAAGCAAAGCCTCTGGGGAAGGGTTTGCCCCAAACTGCCGGGTTTTGGATACCGGGACATGGATTTTGGGGAGGAATCGGCGGAAGCTGCAGGAACTTGAGGCCAGAGCCTCAACCCCCCAATTCTGCCCGGGGACCCCTCGCTCCCCTCCACCCCCACCCCCGACAGGCAGCTAGAGAAGCACTAATTAGCTTATTCCTAAAAGAATTAATTAGTTGGGGCCCCAAACAGGGCCCTGGTGCGTCCCCGGAGGGCGGCAGGAGCAGGGAGGCCATTCCAGCCCGTTCCCGCTCTCCGGATGGAATCACCAACTGCAGCTCAACATTTTGGGGGGGGCCACGACCGAAAAACCCCCTTGAGGAGGTGCCCGGACCCCCCCTGGCTCGTTCTCCCGTCACCTCCGCGCCCGGATCCACCGGAGCGCCGAGGGAACGCGGAGCACGGCCGGGCCAGAGGCCACACCACCCGTTTACCGGGATAAAGGAATGGGACCAAACCCAACGGAGCTCGTTTTGGAGTCACCAGCACCCCGGGAGGAGGGACTTTGCCCCTGCCAGAGCCCCGGGCCGGCCGGCAGCACCAATGACAACGTGACGCTCCGGGGCCGGATCCTCAACAATCCCTGTTTCCCCGAGCCCCCCTCGCGGGAGGAACCAGTGGTCCGAGGTCCAGGAAGGCAAATTCCAGGCGGGACGGGCGGCGGGGGAGGCCGGGACGGGGCTACGCGTCCGCCTGCCCCGCGTTGGTCTTCTTGAGCAGCTTCCTCAGGTCGGGGGACATGAAGTAGGGCTTCTCCGCCGAGCCGTCATTCCGCTCCAGGTCTTCCACTGCCAAGAGAAAACCCCCCCGGCCCCGCAGGCGGGGAGGACACAGGCCTGGCTCAGCTGGGCCTGGCTCAGCGGGGGCTCCCGGCACGGCTGGGATCCTCTGACCACCAGGGATCCTCCTCACCACCACCCCGGACCAAACAAAGTCTCTGCCCTCACCGAGGGCTTCCCCCTTCTCTGCCTCTGTCACAACCAACGTGCCCAAACACGCGAAGCTCCCCCCCCTCCCTTTTCCCAGGAGCGCCGGGAAAAGCCCGCGGGGATTTGGGAGAAAGCGGAAATTCGGGTGTTTGGTTACTCCGGGGAGGGAAAGTCGAACAGAACCGGGGGAAAAAGAGGTCCCCTGGAGGGAAGGGAGGTCCCCTCAGCTCTTCCCAGGGGCTCTGGACACCAATGCAAAGCGATTCCCCTTGGGATTCACCCTCAGTGTTCCCAATAAGGAGCATTCCCAATGTGCCACTGCACCAAGGGGTCGGAAAATCCCGGGAAAACAACACCCCAAACAAACCCAGAGGGCCCCGGAGCAGAGCGAGGGCACCTGGGGGGGAGGTTTGGGAGGGATTTGGGTCCCTTTGGGATGGAAGCAGGAGCGTTAAGGCCGTGGCCTCGTCCTGGGAGGGCACAGCTCGGGGTCAGCTCTGGCTGCCCAGGGTTTGGGAGGGGGGCTCTGCCCGAGCCGGAGCAGCTGCTTTTATAAATCCTGATCAGCTCTGGGCTGTCCGGAGGGGAAAACTCGGCTGTGTTTTTTGGGGGGGCTGTGACCTCCCCCCTCCCAGCACTTTGGGGGCTGATCTCTCTCCCCTCCGAGGTCACACCCCTGTGATCCCCCCTCATCCCACTGCGGACACTCGCTCTGCTCCCCCGGCACTGCCTCACCCTCACAGACCCCACAGCCTGTGTGGGGACTCGCCTCCCTTCCCCACAGGCTCCTTCTTCCTTCCTACAGCCCCCCCCCGGGCCTGGACGGCCTCTGGAATCATCTCCAGCCGCGCCCTGGGAGAGCGTGGAAGTCGTGGCAGCCCCCCCGTCGCGACAGCCCCCCACTCGTGACGGCTCCCAGCGCCTCTGCCCGCGGGAGCCCGGACCAGGCCGGGGCCAAACCAACCCACTTGGCCCCTCCCAGGGGAAAAGCAGCTCCCAGGACCAGCCCCCGCAGCACCCAAAGCTCCACGAGGGACCCTCTGAACCCCCGGGGGCTCCGGCAGCGGCTCCTCGTGCCGAAGCAGCAGGTGAGAAACCAAAGCTCTGCAGCCTCACCCAGAAACCTTCCGAGTTCTGCGGTTTGCACAGAGAGGGGGCCAGGAAAGGGGGCCGGGGAAGGGGCCGGGAAAGGGGCCAGGGGAGGGGCCAGGGAAGTTTTGCTGCTCTTGGAGAGGGGAGCGCCCAGAGACCGGGTCGGGGCGGTGGAACCCACTCGGCCTGTCCCACAAACCCCCGTCCCGCTGCAGCAGATCCCTCCCGCTGGTGCTCCCGGCCCTCCCACCCACGCCGGGTGGTCAGGAACAAACATCTCTGGGCTGTGGGGACCCGGCTGGTCCCGGCCCCAACTCCCAGTGGTGCCGGGCGGGTTCTCTGGATGCGGGAACGCGAGTTACTGGGCAGGAAGGCGGGCTGGGCACTGAGGGTCGGCACCCCCCTACCCTGGAAGGGCTCCCAGGGCACCAAAAAGCTGCTCAGGTCGGGGGTGGCCGGGAGGGTCCCGCGGCGCCCGGCGCTGGCCCCCGGCCTTGGCTATCCCTAGCCTTGGCTATCGGCGCTTTTGGAAGGCTCGAGGTGCCCCTTCAGCAGGATCTCGCTGAGCTCGGGGGACATGTAGTAAGGCCTCTCGGGAGATCCATCGTTCCTCTCCAGGTCTTCACCTTTTCCAACCCCGGGAAGGAGCGGCCGTGACGGGGGGAGAGTGAAAAAAGCAGCAGAAGAGCCGGGGAGAGAGAGAGACAGGGCGGAGATGGAGGATGGAGGATGAAGGATGGAGAACGTGTGAACGGGAGACACGGGAGAGGCAGAAAAGGAGGAAAAAGAGGGGAGAAAAGGGAAATTGAAGTTAGCTGCGGTTAATCCCACCGAAAAGCACCGAAAGAGAAGGAGCAGGAGGGAGGCAGGAGCTGCAGCAGGCGGGGGGAAGCAGGTGAGAACGCAGGTGAGGAGTCCGGAGAGGAAAAAAGGGGGAGAAAACCACACGGAGGGAAAGAACCCCAGGGGGATTTCGGAGCCAACCCCCAAATCTGGCCAACTCAAGCCTGGAGGGAGGGAGAGGTTTTGCCCCCCCCCCCCGGGGTGGGTACTCACCGAAGCAGAGGAAGAGGGTGTCCACGCACATGCCGTACACGCTGAAGAACCCGTGGGCGATGAGGTAGGAGCCCACGATCACCGTCTGCGAGAGACGCCGCGCGGTCACGCCACGGAGGGCCCGGAGCGCCCCGGCCGGGGGGAGGAGGAGGAGGAGGAGGAGGAGGAGGAAACCGCTGAATCCCAAATTCCCCAGGGGAAGGGGGAGAAGGGAACAGGGCAGGACTGTTCAGAGCAGCCCGAGGGGGGACAAAAGGCCTCAGGCACGACGGCGGCCGGGGGCCAACGCGGGGAGGGCGCGCGGCCAACGGCGGCCAACAAAGGGCTCGTTGGAAAAACACCCAACAAAGACGGCCCTTGAGGCGCCGGGGGCGGGCGGGGGGCTCGCCTGGGGCACCGCTGCCCTTTGCCTCGGGGGTCACCCCGGCCCCAGACGGCGGCTCACCAGAATGGGGACCCAGTAGTAATTCAGCGGCGGCGCCGTGTCCTGGACCAGCTTTATCCGCTGGGTGAAGAAGAAGAAGGCGAGGATTCCTGGGAAAGCAAGCGCAGGATGGGCACGGCGGTGGGGTGGCGGCGGCAGAAGGGGTGGGGTGGGGAAGACAGGACACAGGACACGGGAGGGGTGACCTCAGAGGAGGTTTTGGGACGGCACAACCGGCTACGGCAGCCGGGCGTCCCGAGGAGGAGCTGCCAGTGCCCGGCGCTTACCGACGCTTCCCACTATGAGGAGCTTCCCGAGGAAGAAGAGGAAATCCGTGACTTTATCTAACACGGCCACCCTGGAAACGAGAGGGAGAGATGAGACTCCACATCCGCTCCCCACCCCAGATGGAAGCGCGGGAGGGAGGGAGGTCCCCGAGGACGGGGAGCCAGGCCGGGGGTGACCTCTGGCAGCAGGAAGGACTCGGAAGTAACGGAGCAGAGCCCTCCTGGACACCGGGATCTCACCTGATGATGTTCCTCATCAGCAGGAAGAAGGCATTGCGGGCCGAGGTGCAGAAGTTGGTGCCGTAGATCGCGATCTAGAGCGGACAAACGGGGCAGAGCAGAGAGAGCTGCACCCAGGTCACCACCGAGGGAGGGTGCAACGAGTCCCATCTCGGGGCAGGTCTCTGGTAAATCCCACCCTGGAAGTGCTTCCTCACCCACTGACGGGTCGGGCATCGGGGAGACCCAGAGCTGAGCCCGCCCACCCACAGAGGGTCCTTCCCAAAGCCAAGGTGAGGTGGCTGAGATGAAGGTTTGCCAGCCAAGCAGCTGCAGAGCTCCCGTGACGTTGGCAGACACAATTCCCAACAGCCGCCCAGGGAAACCCCCGGGAGCGCCAAGACGCCCCCACGGCAGCCCCGGCCCCCCGAGGGCGTCAGTTTGGGGTGACTCTCACCATGATGTAGGCGTTCCTGTTGAGGAATTTGATGAATTTTTCCAGGCACCAGAAGCAGCACTTGAGGCAGCTCAGGAGGAACTTGGCAAACTTGTTTTCTGCAGCTGGAGGGCACCAAAATCAGCACCAGCAGCGACTCCAAGGTCCCTGGTGGAGACCTTGTCCCACCGCCCCACCACGGCCTCCCCCCCGTGCCCTGTTTTCAGCCTCCCCGTGGCTGCAGACAGTGGGATGAGCCCCGTCTGCTCTTCCCACGCTCCCACTCGCTGTTTACGTTTCCCGATGAACGCGGCACAGACTTCCCTGGCACCCACACAGGCCCCCGGGGCGGGCCGGCTGAGCCCGGAGCCACGGCACGTCCCTTGGCTCCTGCCCCGGGAAACTCTTCCCAGAATCCCGAATTATGGAATGGTTTGGGTTGGAAGGCACCCGGGAGCTCGTCCTGTCCCGGGCAGGGACACCTTCCACCAGCCCAGGTTGCTCCAAGCCCCCTCCAGCCTGGCCTTGGACGCTTCCAGGGATCCAGGGGCAGCCACAGCTTCTCTGGGCAACCCGTGCCAGGGCCTCCCCACCCTGCCAGGGAAGGATTTCTTCCTTTCTTGGACAAAGAGGCGACTACGGAGCTCTAAGAGGAAAACCCTGATCCTCCCCCGAAACCCTGGAGCGATTCCCCTGGACTCGAGCCCCGGCCTCGAGGGCCACGGGGAGCGGCCGACCTCGCCCGTCCCCTCATGGCCATCGCAGCCCCGGTACCTTTGAGCCGGTGGTCCAGGTACTCCAGCGTGACCCTGATGACCTGGACGATGGCGAGGACCAGCGCGCCGAAGGCCAGCGAGCCCGTGTGGTACCTGGGGCGGGACCGCCCGGACCCGTTAGGAAGGGGGACAACCTCCAGGAACCACCCGGGGTCTCCCCCGCGCGCGGGGACGTACCGGAGCGCGCGGCCGAAGGCGGAGAAGAGCGGGAAGGCCGGCATGTCGTCGGGTTTCTTGAAGGCCCAGTAGTAGGAGGCGAAGGCGCCCGCCAGCGTCACCTGGCCCAGGGCGATGACGAAGTTGGCGAGCCAGAAGAACATGAAGACGTTGAAGAACTGCAGCACGATGAGGTACTTGTGGTAGGCCGTCTCGCCGCCGTAGAAGGCGAACAGGCACTGGGCGTCGGGGCACAGCTTGGTGACGTTGCTGGTGTTGAAGGTCTGCGGGGAAAGCAGAGGTGGGGGTGGCAGCCGGGGATGTGTCCCCTTCCCCCCGAGCAGCCCCAGCGTTCAGAGACGTCGTTATCCCGCTCAGCTTCCCAGGAGGGACGGCTCAGACCGGCTCCGGGCACGCGGTGGCTCGGGGAGAACAACCCGACACAGCCGGGCTTGGAGAGCTGGAATTGCGCCGGGGAGGAGCGCGGGGGCTCCGAGAGACACCGGGATGTTTCTCACTCAATGAGGGGTCTCGTCTCCGCCAGGTTTCCCCGTGTCCTCACCTCCGGCCTGCAGGTCTGCCCGGAGAAGGGGCAGGCGGACTCGTTGAACACCTTGTACACGGCCTCGTTGGAGGTGGACAGGAAGCTGTGGAGCGGCCGTTAAGGAGAGCCCCCGTTTTCCAGCCCCAACCCCAACCCCAACCCAGCCTCTGCTCCGCTCCCACCAACCTCCCCCCGCCACTCCTGCACCCAGGGCTGGTTTGGGGCTAAACTTCAGAGATTTAAGGTGGCCGCCGCGCCAGCAGATCCCGTTCCGTGCCCGGGGGAGCCCTTTGACTCACGGGCAGCGTCTTTGCCGGGGAACAGGGACACAGGGCAGGGGAGGAGCAAAGGATACACGGCGGTGCTGGCCCAGTAGGCGATGCAGAGGCACAGCAGGAAGAAGGTGCACAGGGGGAACAGCAGCGAGGACATGACGTGACCGACGGCCCTGCGAGAGGACGGCCACGCCGCCGTTAAAGCCCGTGGCACTGGGAGCCTCCCCAGACACCAGGACGGGACAGGGGGCAGTGGCCATGGGACGGGGGCGGCCGGACCTGCTGGCCTCCTTGATGAGGGCGATGGCGATGAGGATCCTCTTGCGCAGGAAGATGAGCAGCAGGACGATCACCAGCTCCACCACGCACAGGATGATCACTGCCAGGGGACAAGGGGAGCCCCGGGAATGGGGGCAGCGTGAGAACACCTTTGCCTTCCCGGGGAAAAATCCCTCCTGGCTCCTCCCTAGGGACATCCGGCACGGGGCAAAGCCCTTCCTTCGCAAGGAGACCCCCAAAACCCCCCGTGCTCCCCCACACCCCGGCACTCACGGAAGGCCAGCCACGTCTGCCGCAGGTGGAGGTAGACGCGCAGGTCGGTCTGAAAGCCCAGGTCCACCAGGGACACGTCCGAACCCGCCTCCCCTTTCAGCTTCGCGTATTCCATGTAACAGTGGAAGATTCCTGCGGGGAAAAGCAGGAGATTGTCCTGTTTTCAGGGAAAAGCGGAGCCGGACGCCGGCGGGCTCCGCTCAACCCCACCAGCGCCGACGTTCGGGGGGGAGGCACCTGGAAGGACACGGAGTGTGAACTTCCATGAGGCAAATCCCGCTTAAAATAGGGAGAGGAAAGTAGGGAAAAGCCAGGGAGGCGCTTCCGTCCCCCCCGCTCACCGTATCCCAACACCAGGATCACCATCACGATCATGACCCAGACCATGATCCCGGCCAGGAAGCGCAGCAGGACGATGAAGATGAGGCTGGCCACCATGGCGATGACGAGGCCTCTGCGGGAGGAAGGTGCTGGTGTGTCACAGCCCCCCTTGTGCCACCCACGGGGCACCCAAAACGCGGGACCCGCGGCGGAGGCGGAGCGTGAGGAGGAGCAGAGCGAAGCTGCTCCTCCGGCACCTC